AATGGGAAAGGAAAGGATTCTGGTTTCAACCTGCAAAGACACCTGATCAGTCGCCATGATGACCTCCAAAGACATAGACCACCTCACCTGAGTAGGTACACAGCTCTCTCCACGTCATTCAGGTCTTCATCCACAGTCAGCTGATCAATCTCCTCTGCAGTCTAAAAAGAATGGGAAAGTGTCTCAGAGACTCCGCCCATTAGTCTGAAGCCACGCCCACATCGTTAAGAAGGAAGAGGAAACCGTGACATCAAAGGTAGTGATCATTTCCTGATTTATTGGTCAGTTATTGATGAGTTGGTGAGCAGATCCACCTGTGCAGGCAGGATCAAAGGTCTACATGTCATCATTTCCTTTTTCTTGTCTCATCTCATTTTTCACTTTATCTCTTTATGTTGTTATTCTCTCATGTGTTCATCCCTTCATGTTGTCATCTAAAGCTCCCTTTGCATGTTTTTTTTTCTCTCGTATCTTTTGTCCATATTCCAGATTCTGACAGAATTTAGTCTAAAAATGTGTTTTAATGATCAGGATCTGAGCTGCTTCCTTCCTCTCTGCTGGTTGGGTTGATTTGGATGGTTCTTCTGCAGCTCTTTGAGCGCCTGATGATGAGGATGATGAGGATGATGATGTGACTGACTGCTGGAGTCCTGCCTCTGCTGACTCAGAGCTCAGAGGAGACCCTGAAGGCGCTCCGTGTGTCCGTCCGACCCTCTGCGCTCTCAGACAGACCGACAAACTGCGTCACTCTGCGCACATCGCGGGTTTCCCTCCGCTTCATCCAGCATGATCCACCATCATCATCATCATCATCATCACCGGCAGCAGCATCCTCTTCATCACGTCTCTCACATGCGGACAGCTGCTCCATCAGCAGAATATCACACCTACCTTCAGGCTCCTGCGGATCGGCCGCTCGATGAAGGCCAGCTCCTGCAGCTCCTGCAGCTCCTGCAGCTCCTCCGGCGGCTCGCACGGCGCGCTGAGGGTCATCCTGCCGGAGAACATCTGCTCACTGGAACCGGCCCAGTTCCTCTCTGCTGCTTAATGGGAGAGCAGCTCAGCACCATCCATCCCTGACGAGAGGATGGGGGCGGACACGGGGGAGGGGAGGGGAGGGGAGGAGAGGGGGGATTGTCTCTCCGTTTCCAAGGAGATCCCGTCCGCGGCGGAGCTGACGTCATCCAGCTTCCGTTTACAGCAGGGACGTCAAAGTCAAACACACCGAGGGCCAAAAACACAACAACGAGGGCCGGACTGGTTCAATATTTATTAAAACATGTTGAAATGAACATAGCCTGTTGAACCAAGACCTAAAACATTTATTGTTTTAATATCAAGATTATTAATACACTTTTATTATATTAATAAACTTATTAAGATGAATACATAAATGAAAGTTCATGCATTATAAACCTAAAATGTATCACTGTGCTGCTCTATGATCGATCACTGCTTTCAAATAGTAAAATAAGAAAAAAACAAAGACATCAAATCAGTTCTATTCTCTCTACGACAGAATATTGGGGCTAGAGATTTTTTTCTTCTATTTCCAGAATAATGTCGTGATATTGCAAGAATAAAGTCGTAATATTATGGGAATAAAGTCGTAAAATTACGAGAATAAAGTCGCAACATTACGAGAATAAAGTCGTAAAATTATGAGAATAAAGTCGTAAAATTATGAGAATAAAGTCGTAACATTACAAGAATAAAGTTGTAACATTACGAGAATAAAGTCATAATATTACGAGAATAAAGTCGTAAAATTACGAGAATAAAGTCGTAAAATTATGAGAATAAAGTCGTACTATTACAGGAATAAAGTCGTAAAATTATGAGAATAAAGTCGTAACATAATAATTCGTAGAACAGAAAAAGGGGCTTCACTCAAGCTGTTATGTAACAGGAGGGATGTTAATCACATACAAATTTCAGAAGTCAGGAATAAAAATATATACATATATATCTTCTTTAATCATTATCAATACTGTTATTATGTAACAAAACAGTTCAGTAACAAATGATTGCAGACACTTGGATAAATGTAGTTCTCCTAGTCATCCAGCAGATGCCGCCATTCATAAGTGTGTCAAATGTTTAGAGCTTGGTTTCGACTTTTGGCCAGTTGTGTCAAATTGGTTCTTGGAGCTTCGAAATCACTATTTGACATGATCTGAATCAAATCAGACTCTAAAATGGGCAAATCCTTCTTAATAAAACCTGAGAGTAAAACATGAAAACAGCAGGAAGAGGAGTTTGGCTGCTTAACTGGTTATTCTGATCTTATGCAGAGTCATGACTGTTCTTTTTTAGTTCTGTTTTGTGAGTTTTCAGTTTCATGTCTTTATATGCTTTCTAGTTTTTATGGTTTTATTTCCATTTTTTGTCATTCTAGTTATTTGTGATTGTATTTGAGTTCTTAGGTATTTGTTGTTTGCCCTCTTGTGCCAGTCTCCTTCTCCTAGCTCCCTTCTAGAATCCTCTGTTCCCATTTAATCACCTCATGTTCAGTCACTGGTTGCTGGTTCCTCGTTGTTCTGTTGCTCCGTCATCTCTTTGCTCCCTATGTGAATTTTTACCCTGAGTATTTTGCATTTTATGCCCTTTTTGCCTCTGCCTCCTCACTTCTGCCTTTAGGTCCTCAAAAAATGTCCACTTAACCTTGACATGCAATTTATTTGGCAGAATCAGAATATCTATGAACCAACTATCTATATCTCAACTATCTGTCACTCAAGTATCTCTAACTCATCTATCTGTGACTAAACTAAACATTTAACTCTGTAAGTCAACTTCTATATATTAACTATCTGTTACTCAGCTATCTAAATATCAACTATCTATATCTCAACTATCGTTGACTTGACTTACTTTATCTCATTTATCCATGAATCAGCTGTATGCAGCTCATCTCTCTATCTCTCATCTCTATGTCTCAACTGTCTGTAACTTAGCTGTGTGTCCCTCAGCTCGTCGTAAGGCACCTTCGTTTTTTTTTTAATCACTGCTGATTATTTTGGTCGACTTTTTAAAGTTCATTAGGGGTCAGGGAGTAAGGTTTGTTTGAGCTTTAGCCAATTGAGTTTCAGTATCGGAGCTCAATGACATTACAACTGCTGATGCAGCAGATTTGTTCAGTTTAAATTCAACTGCCAGAACTGTTGCAAGGTCTTAGAACCAGAACCAGACCAATAAAATACAGGATCCTGATTGTCCAGTTTGGCAGGTAGGACCAACTGTGTGTTTCTGAGGAACCATCATCATTAAGAGCAGATTATTAAACTTCTGTCTCTTCTGATTGTTTCATAATTTGTTGAAGTTTTACCATCAGATCTGCCCCTTATTTCTGGGACAGTTTAAACTGTTCTGATTTTACTCAATATATATACTGCAATATATTTCTTTTTCCATAACAGTGAAAGGACATTTCTGATATTACAACATACCTTACAATCTATGATAGCAGCATTTCCTACTGGATTTATTGCAGGTTTATGTATTATTATTTTTTAACCAAATAATTCTGAAATGTTGTGTTTGAGGAGTTTTATAAACTTGGCAAAAATATTTACCTGAAGTTTGGATCGATGTTTTGAGGGTTTTACTGTCTTTCTGAGGTTTTCTATCCTTCTATATCAATATTGAAATTTTGACATGTCGACTGAAATTAAGAAATATATGGAGGTATAACTTTTGACCATATGCTTCTTTTTAAAACCAATATTTTCTGAGGGAGTCAGGAAGCAGCAGAGAAACTTTAGGCTGAAAAAGGACTAAATCACAATTCACAACAAATAGACTTCTTAGACATTTTTTATAAGACACTTTTTAGAAGATTAAAAGCTAAACATATACAGAGAAATAAGGATAAATCCAACCAGCTCATACAGAAAGATTTCCCATTCTGATTATGTATTCAAACATCTCTGTGTCCTTTGGCTGTCATTCAGGGTTTATGTCTAAGTATGCCATATAACAGATGGTGTCTGGTTCGGGTAGAGACCCTGACCTGACATCAAGTCTATTCATAGCTTTACGGCCTGTTTTAATGTCAAGATTAAAGTGTTTACAATCTTTGCAGCCTTAGGTTGCAGAAATCTGAGATGTTGAATTTCTGTTACATCTCTGTGTCTTTGTGTGCTCTAGGTCAGCAGTTTATAGATGTTTGAAATGTTTGGCTTCAGCATAGTGAAAATAGACACGGCTGCTCCCTAAAGCCTAAAGTCACCCCGCAGCTCCACTTTGTCCTGAAGTTACCTTCTGCTGTTCCTCTGGAGATTTAGAGGGAAACCTGGTTCTGACATGGCTGAGATCGACCTGGAGGACTTCAGTGTTTACAGTCAGCTGACTGATGAAGAGCTGATCCAGATCGCTGTGGAGAGAAGCCTCTGGGACATACATCGCTTACCAGACTCTGATCGAAGGTCAGCCTCCGCAGATCCACCTCCAGAACCCAGGCACAGACCCGCAGACCTGCCCACACCTCTGCCTCCATCCCAACGGCCACAACCAGTACGAGTCCAGAACAATATAAATCCCCCCACTGCCCTGTCCAACTTTCTATACAAAGTCCTCAATAGGTAAGTTCAACTTGTTGGGTAAGAGTGATAAAACATTAAGGGACAGTCGGTAAATGCTGGAAAACAGCAGCACTAGCTGAAAAAGTCCTTAGACTAAAACAAAAACAAAACAGAAACATCCAGTAACAATGGAGGCACATGAGAGTAAAAAAACAAACCCTGCAAAACAATAAAAAACTCTTTAAAACAGGAGTTAAAGACTAAAAAAAGAATATAAACACTGAAAAAACATCCAATATGCAACACAATAACTGTAAACTCATTATTAAATACCAACAAGCATCCCATGAGCAGCCGAGACACTGGAAAGCAGCTACTATAAAACCAGAAAATAGTCTCTGCAAAGCAACACAAAAACTACAATCCTGAAAAAAAAATAATAAACAAAAAGAAACCTACATTTGTTTTGTGGATCTGGAGAAGGCATTCGACCGTGTGCCTCGGGGGGTCCTGTGGGCGGTTCTCTGGGAGTATGGAGTACCGGCCCTTTAATAGGGGCTGTTAGGTCTCTGTATGACCAGTGTCAGAGTCTGGTCCGCATTGCCGGCAGTAAGTCGGACCCGTTTCTGGTGAGAGTTGGACTCCGCCAAGGTTGCCCTTTGTCACCGATTCTGTTTATAACTTTTATGGACAGAATTTCTAGGCGCAGCCAAGGTGTTGAAGGGATCCGCTTTGGTGGCCATAGGATCCCGTCTCTGTTATTTGCAGATGATGTGGTTCTATTGGCTTCATCAGGGCGTGATCTACAGCTCTCACTGGAGCGGTTCGCAGCTGAGTGTGAAGCGGCCGGGATGAGGATCAGTGCCTCCAAATCCGAGGCCATGGTCTTGAGCCGGAAAAGGGGAGAGTGCCTTCTCCGGGTTGGGGAGGATGTACTGCCCCTAGTGGAGGAGTTTAGATATCTTGGGGTCTTGTTCACGAATGAGGGGAAGATGGAGCGGGAGATCGATAGGCGGACTGGTGCGACGTCTGCTGTGAAGCGTGCGCTGTACCGCTCTGTTGTGGTGAAGAGAGAGCTGAGCCAAAAAGCAAAGCTCTCGATTTACCGGTTGATCTACGTTCCTCCCCTCATCTATGATCATGAGCTTTGGGTCATGACTGAAAGAATGAGATCCTGGATACAAACGGCTGAAATGATTTTTCTCCTTAGTGTGTCTGGGCTCTCCCTTAGAGATAGGGGGAGGAGCTCAGTCATCCAGGGAGGACTCAGAGTAGAGCCGCTGCTCCTCCACATCGAGAGGAGCCAGTTGACGTGGCTCACGCATCTGGTTAGGATGCCTCCTGGACGTCTCCCTAGTGAGGTGTTCCAGGCACGTCCCACTGGGAGGAGGCCCAGGGGGAGACCCAGGACACGCTGGAGGGACTATGTTCCTCTGCTGGCCTGGGAGCGCCTTGGGATTCCCCCGGAGGAGCTGGACCAAGTGGCTGGGGAGAGGGACGTCTGGGTCTCCCTACTGAAGCTGCTACCCCCGCGACCCGACCCCGGATAAGAGAAAGAAGATTCATGGATGGACGGCCAAACAGAAACCAAAAGAGAGTAACTATTTTTATTCCCAATCTTAATATTTTCCGTGTGTATCTTTGTAAAAGGGGTAATTAAGATCATACAGAATTGGTTTGTTTTCTAATTCCAAATTTGGCATCTCTTCATCCATGCCTGCAATAAGAAGTTGTCAGATTCACTCTTGGAAGTTTTGACTGGATTTGATGAAACTTTTAAGCCTCTGTGTATAAAATAAATATTTTGATTGAGATGAAAAATCTACTTCCTGGTATGTTGAAGTACCAACGGTCTTAGTTTTGGGAATATATAAGAATTCTGCTCTAATTTGTAGTCACTGATCTGTCATCACCATATTTTAATTTGACCAACCGGATCTTCTCTAGGTTCTTTTTTCTATTTGGTGAGATTCGAATTGTGGGTCTTGACCTGGCCGGACCGGAGCGGAGCAAAAATAGCTCGGCTCTGTATTTTGACGATGATGGACGGAGAAGACGTACATGGACGGTGACGTGCGAAGGAGTAGCGGTGGATGTGTAACAGTGTGTCATTGGTTAACATGACTACGCAAGTCCTCCGTATGACGTATATGAGCAGAGCAGGGCAGGACGCGGCGGAGCGCTAACGGAGGATGTGGAATCTGGGGATAACAGCCAGTAAAACCTGCAGCACTGATGACAGATATAAAAAAAGCCATGAATAGAGACCGCAATTAAAACGCTGCAAAATTTAGAAAAGCAAAAAAATAAACCTGGACCAAAAAAAAACTTAGTCAATTAGATCATCATCTGCAGTCATGGGCTCAGATTGAACAGCACCTGTCGTGCTCCCGGCTGACCCAAACATTTCAGTTTATTTTAACAGAAGTTACACACATTTGGCCTGCTAGGAATTTTGAGTGTTGAGCAAATATTTCTCTCACGGCCTGGTCTTATCCAGCTGTGCTGAAGTCCGATAATAAAATCAGCAGAAAGAGAGGTCCCGGCAAAGTTGACTACAGACTTTTCAAGGGGTCTCATCCTCTGTCTGGTCTCTCTCCTTTTCTGCAGAAATATCACTTGCTTTGTGTTGGTTTTCATTTCTAGGACAATAAGGGGTTATGATCATTAACCCTTACTGAATGTTTCCCTTATGTCAGAGTACCCAGTCCTCTACAGACTATCATTATGAACGGAGATGCTGAGGCTTTAATGGAGGTGGTCCATACCAGGTACAGCAGTCTGACTGAGCCCAGCGATGAAGGCTGGATTGCTCTTCATGAAGCCGCTAACTATGGCCAGCTAAAGTGTGTCCAGATCCTGATCAGAGGTAAGGTTACGATTTTCCTCCAGCTTCAGTCCTTCATCTTTGTTCTAAAGTAGTTTTCACACAAGTTCTAAAATCAGTTTTAGATCTCAGTTACAATTGCAGATGAAAATCTCCATCCTTTAATTTTCTGTCACGTTTATCCCTACTGGGGTGGCTGCCTATCTCCAGCTGTCTATGGGTGAGAGGCGGGGTCAACCTTGGACAGGTCTCCAGTCCATCGCAGGGCAACACAGAGACAAACAACCATTCACACTCATGGAGCATTTAGAAAAGCCAATTAACCTAACAGTCATGTTTTTGGACTGTGGGAGGAAGCCAGAGTACCCAGAGAGAACCCACGCATGCTCAGGGAGAACATGCAAACTCCATGCAGAAAGACCCCGGGCCGGGGATCAAACCTGGAACCTTCTTGCTGCAAGGCAGCAGTGCTACCCACTGTGACACTGAGCAGCTCTAAGATGAGATGAACCAATTAGATGATTTAATCACTTCTACTTTTATCAAAAATAGATTTTTAAAGCGGTAGACCTTCTTTATACTAACACTGTCTGTCTTTCTGTCTGTCTGTCTGTCTGTCTACCTTATCTGATTTGCAATTGAGCATTTCTATAAGTCTAATGAGTTGTTAATGTTTTTCACAGACTAATTGTTTTAGTCTGTTTTTGTATTCTGGTAAAGAATAATAATAAAAAAAATTAAACAAACAGATTCAATACAATGTATGGATTAAATGCCATCCCAACTTGCACAGGCAAAGACGGACTATTAGACATAAAAGTTGTATGGTGGTAGCATGCCCCTGAAGCCCTGTCTGGGGCTGGAGCTTGTCAGCAAGTGCCTGGTGACAAGGTTATGCGTCCCAGGACTCATGCCAAGTCAGAGTAAACAAGTTGTCCCCCCCCAACATAATGTCATCTCGCTGGGGGGAGGGAATCCGAGCTCACATGTTAGAGATACTGGCTTGAAATAGTCAGGCTCATCTCCACATATAGTCTGATCTCTGGAACCCAGCGCGTTTAGAAAGCTTGGAGTCTCTACTACTCTGGAATGTCCTGCAGAGAGTGGCTGAAGGATTGGATGGCTTTGCCTTTAGCACTCCAAGTCAGGTTTCTCAGAAGTCTACTGCTTTTGTTTTGGCCAACCGGCCAAGCAGAAGAGCAGAGTACCCAGCTTTTTTTTTGGCATCCCATCAGCACCAATGTCGAAAATGACAAGTCACTTGGCAGTGTGTGCAAGAGACTGACAATTACTGTGTCACCAGCAAATCTTATATGTCTGTTTTGGTATGTGCAGTAGGTGGCAGGACGCATAATGTGCAAAATAAAGAGGCCAGTATTTAAGCTGCTAAGCTAAGACACATATTAAACTCTGTTAATCTTTTGTCTGGCCATGTCTTACCCGGTAGAAACAATTTCCCAGGAATATGATACATTTTGGGGACATGTAGGTACTTCTGGGGACCAACGACTGGTCTCCATGAGGTTCTCTTCTTGGAGTAGGGGCTAGCTTTGAGACTAAGGTGTGAATAGAGTCTAGGTTAGGCTTAGGGTTAGGCGTGTGTTGGTAATGGTTAGGCTCAAGGGTTAGGATCTGTATCAGGCAATAGAAATGAATGTAAACTGAATGGACGTCCATTGAAAGTTCCCAAAAGGATAGTGTACTATCGAGGATAGGCAGCTAGCAGGTATCTGAAGCAGCTGCTAGGTACCTTGAGACCAAACATGCAATGGCTGTGGGAGGAGTTTGATAATGAGGCCATGGACAATTACTACTGGTAAACCTCAAAGCGATTCCAGCAAACCGTTCACAACCGCAGGAGAGCGGAAGATATGCTTTAACGACACTTTATAGCGGGGATGAGAAGCTGCTGACCTCAGCAGAGAAAAGCTTCAGCGGCGGAGGAACTTTAATCTCAGGGTGTTGAGCTGTGGTTACTGTGTCACCTCTCCAACATTGTTTGGCAGTTTCGGAGAGTGCCAATGAACTGGCAGCGCTGTGTGGTGGTATCTCCTCATAGTAAGGGAGGCCAGAGGGGGTGTTCCAAATTCAGGGGAATACACCCCGCTTGCTCCCTGGGAAGGCCAATGCCAGGCCTATGACAGGAGATTCCAACTGATAGTTGATCCGTCGCATCAGGAGGAGCAGTGTGGTTTTCATCCAAGCCATGGAACACTGGACCAGCACCACCTCCTCTACATGGTATAGGAGCCCTGGAGAAGGTGTTCACACATCATCCCTCATGGTGCCCTTCCATGGGAGATTCAGGAGTACAAGGTCTGGGGTTAGGGTACGTACCCTAAGTTGTGAAGTTCAAACAAACTGGGGCCTTGGTCATAAATGAGGAGAGAACAAAGCAGGAGATCAGCAAATGGATTGATTACGCTGCAGTAGTTACTGGAATGCACCCTTACTCAGCATAACTGTCACAAGTACAGAGCAACAAAATTATCTCTCTGCATTTCACCCATTCCCTTGGGGAGAAGTGGGCTGCCAGTGTGGGGAGCAGCGTGGGTTTAAGGTTCTTCCTTAGGAACCCAGAGTGGCAGTCTGTGGGAGTGGGGCTTAAACCTCAGGATTTCAAGCGCAATGCCCTAACCACTAGGCCACCACTTCCCCAAAGCAGACATTAGCGAAGGGTCTTTCATAAGGACCCACACTGGCAGCCAATTCCCTCCAGCTGGGATACAAACCCAGGTTTCCTGTTTGCAGGATGGGTGACCAACCACTTGAGCTAGCCAGAACACCAACCTTAAGCTATGATCAGTAAAAAAGCATTTGGCCATCTGAGTGGGGCTCAAACGAGATGCTAGAACATCAAGGTACTAAGAATTAGGTACTAATCAAGTGAGTCAGTGGAAGGAGGTATTGATCAGGCAAGATAATTAGAGGAGGTATTGATCAGGTGAGGTAGTGGGACTAGCTGTGGTTCAAATGTGTGATTTCCTAGCCATCTCTGACCTTTGTCCTCAGCTGACCCCAGTTCCGTGAACAGGTGTACCCTGAATAATGAAACGGCTCTGCTGCTCGCTGCTTCGCAAGGAAAAGTTCCCTGTGTTGAGTTTCTTCTGAAACACGGAGCAAATGTAAACCTTGCCAACAAGGCCGGCGAGACTCCACTGTTTACTGGTGAGCTCTGGCATAAAGATGACATCACAGTCACATGGGTTAATGGGAATGAACACCTTTTTGTTCTGAGATCTTTGTCTCTTCCTCAGCATGTGAACATCCAAATGAAGAGGTTGTGGAGCTGCTGCTTACTTATGGAGCTAAGGTAAACCTCACCTGTACTCAGGGTGAAAGTCCCCTCCATGAAGCCAGCAGATATGGCTCTTTGGAACTCTGCGAGATATTACTGGATGCTGGAGCAGATGTGAAGTCAAAGAACATCTACGGCATTCAGCCGCTGTTCAGGGCTGCACAGAATGGGAATGCGGAAGCTCTGAAACTGCTTGCTCAGAGAGGTCAGTCCTGCAAAGAACCTGTGGTGTGTTGACCGCCTCCAGTAGCCCACTGTGTCCATGTTTTTTTTTTTTGTGCAGGTGCAGATGTTAATGGACAGGCAGGAGATGGAGCTTCACCGCTGTATGAAGCCTCTAAGAACGGCCACTGCTCAGTGGTGCAGGCACTGATCACCCTAAAAGCTGATGCTAATCGAGCCACCAAGGCTGGCCTGCTGCCGCTTCACGTGGCTGTGAGAAACAACCACAAACGGTCCGAACCCGACGAAAGGTTTTACTGCATGCGGCGCTTTGCTAGGAAGCCATAGGTGACTTGCGTGTGTGCACATCCAACCCAGACTTAGTAAGAAATACGGTGGTGCATGAGTTAAAGTTGTGGTCCATTTAAAATTAGTGGGAGCAGTTTTCTCACAGCTTTGTCTGGATGCACCACTATAGATTCAGTTGTTTTACCATCACCCATCAATAATCTGTGTTGGATCAGACTCTTCTTCTGGGATTGAAGTTGCTCTTTCTCTTTACAGAATTGTGTCCTTGTTGATCCCGCTCACCAGCAGCGTTGCAATTCAGAGCTGTGGCATCAGTCCTCTGCACATCGCTGCAGAGAGGAACTGGGACGAAATCCTTGAGCTGCTAATCAAGTCAGGCTTTGATGTCAACGCTGAGCTGTCTAACGAGCGTTCCAACATGTACGAAGACAGACGGAGCACGGCTCTCTACTTCTCCGTCTCCAATGGAAACCTAGAAGGTGCCGAGATGCTCCTGGAAGCTGGAGCGAATCCCAACCTGGACATCTTCCACCCGCTGCTGATTGCCGTCCGCCTCGGCTGGGTGGACATGGCGGAGCTGTTGGTGAGGTATGGTGCAGATGTCAACGTTCAGATGTCCACACAGCCGTCCTCATTCCCATCAGCCATCCTGCTTGGGATGGAATCTCCTCCCATTCTCAAACTACTGCTGGATAATGGCTGTAATGCCCGCCTCTGCTTCCAGTGTGTTTACGGCCTAAAACCGCATCCGGTCTTCATTCCATCACGGCGTCCTGTTGAAGAGCTACGGGTCAACCAGCAGTTGCAGCCACAGCGCTGCATCCAGGTGAGGTTTTTTTGTTATTCAACCAATCAGTGAATCTTTTGTGCAGCTTGCCTTTCTTAATCATAAGGTTTACCACAGGAGAGTGGAATGGTTCATTATTTTCTGGAGGTGCATTAAATTCTAATGTTAGAAGATAAGGCCTTGGATAAATCGTTCAAGGCCTGTTGAACGATTTATCCAAAAGGATGTGATGGTTAGAGATTTTTATACAGAACTATGGAAGACATGTAAGAACAACTCTGAACCTGGAAAGTAAACCAAAACACAAATTACTGAACCATTTAAGGAGTTCTCACATCAAAATCAATCTGTAAAACGTGTTTGTTGGGCTTTTAGCCAGAACTTACCAGAAAATAGAGTGTTTCCCTTTTTCTTATGTGGACTTCGTTCAATCAAGAAAAGCCAAGAAAGAACGCTCACCAAAAAGTATGACTTTCCCTTGGATTGACGTCAAACCTGGAAGGGTGCTAACATTAGCTCAACTTACTACCATCATGCTACCGTTAGCCCAACTTGCCCTCATTATATTACTATTAGCTCGGCATGCTATCATCATGCTCTCAGCCCACCTTGCCATCATCATGCTACTAGACCACCTTGCTATCATCATGCTAACATTAGCCCACCTTGTCATCGCCATGCTACCATTAGCTCACATTGCTGCCATCATGGTAGCATTACCCTGCCTTGCCATCATCATTCTATTAGACCACCTTGCTATCATCATGCTATTACCCCACCTTGCTATGATCATGCTACCTTTAGCCCATCTTGCTACCATCATGCAACCGTTAGCCTGCTTCACCATCATCATGTTATCAGTCTACTTTGCTATCATCATGCTACCATTAGCCCACCTTGCTACCATCATGCTACCATTAGCCCACCTTGCTACCATCATGCTACCATTAGCTCACCTTGCTACCATCATGCTACCATTAGCCCACCTTGCTATCATCATACTAACATTAGCCCACCTTGCCATTATCATGCTACCATTAGCCCACATTTCTACAATCATGCTACCATTAGCCTGCTTCGCCATCATCATTCTATTAGCCCACCTTGCTATCATCATGCTCTTAGCCTACCTTGCCATCACCATGCTGCCATTAGCCCATCTTGCTACCATCATGCTACCATTAGCATGCCTTGCCAACATCATGCTAACATTAGCCCACCTTGCTACATCATTCTAGCAATAGCCTGCCTTGTCATCATCATGTTATTAGTCTACTTTGCTATCATCATGGTGCAATTAGCCCACCTTGCTACCATTATGCTATCATTAGTCTCAGACTTAGGCTTTGACAAATTTATTTTGTCATTTTGTATACACAAGTGTAAACAAAAAGAAATTTCGTTTAGAGCAGCTCTCTAGACAATTTGTTTTTTTTAAAGTGCAGCCTTGATAAGCTAAACAGCAGTTGTACGTAGTTGAGCTGCTACTGCTGCATCCAGCTCCTGAAGCACTCGCTTCTCCTGGCTCAGGGGAGGAAGAGGACGATGATGACGATGCTGTGAGGGTGGTAGCCGATTAGCCTGCCTCGCCATCATTACTCTAAAATTAGCCTGCCTTACTATCATTATGCTAACATTAGCCTGCCTTACTATCATTATGCTAACATTAGCCTGCCTTACTAACATTATGCTAACATTAGCCTGTCTTACTTTCATTATGCTAAGATTAGCTTGGCTTGCCATCATCTTGCTAACATTTATCCAACTTGCTATCATCATGCTAACATTAGCCCACCTCACCATCATCATGCTAGGTAGCAGCCCTAGTGCCATTTGCAAGAAGAGCTGTAACTAAAGATTATCTTGTATATCGATAAATCTGTTGATTATTTTTCAATTAATCAATTAATAATCATAAAGAAAAAGGTTCCACAAAGAATATTTTATTACAATTAAACCAGATTTGTCATTGTCGCTGTGTTTGTGATGTTGCTTTTAGTGGTGAGAGGGCTTGGTGGTGCTAGTGTATGGCAGCATGTCTTGTGTCAGCGTGCCCTATAGCTGCTGTGGCTCCACTGTAACTCACCACCATCAGCATGTGAATCACTTTGGAGTCTTGGATTAAGAGCTCTATAAGCCTAGACCATTTAATATTTAAGAAGCCACATTTAAAGGTTAAAATAAGAAGCTACAGATTATCAAGATAAACACAAAAAGAGAACCAAACATCTCAAGATCAGAACCAAAGGTGTTGGTTGCGCTAAGGACTCTCTTCAGGCCAATCAGATTCTTTCCACAAAGTGACTCATCTATGTCCACATGGACCTAACTTTAGGTGCTGGAAGACTGAACCAGCCTACTATTGTAGGACCAAGGGTAACATGGGGGTGTTCCTGTGTGTGTTCCAGTACTGCGAGGCCATCTCCAACTCAGCTCTCTGCCAGATATCGGGTCCCATTATCTCCATGTTCCTGGACTACGTCGGCCACGTCCGTCTCTGTTCCCGACTTCTGGAGATCCTGGAGAGTCGCAGTGACTGGGCCTCCATCAAACTGAAAGCTGGTGGGACTAATTAGCTTCTGCATCATCAGGATTTTCATAATAGAATTCGGTGATTCAGAGTTAGATCATACACTAATCTTTATCAGGAAATCCTGGCTCATTCAGACCAGTCAGGTCGAAGCCTCCAGGAGGTTCATCAAAGATTCACTACATGATTGAGAGCAATAATGCATTGTGAACAACTAGGATGAGGAAACATACACGCAAAACAAAAATAAATCGTTTTTATTTTTGGACCCTCAAAGTGCCACCATGTTAATCAGCATACACATCATCAGTGAGAGAAATGTGCAAGTTTGTTTTCCCTGAAGGCGTAATCAGGACATTCTGTAGGTTAATGCATTAAATGAGCAGAAGCAGCGATGAGGTGTCAGTGTGCGAGCTATGCAAACTTTAGATCCTGTCAGTCATTGTTCAGGGCTAAGGTTCCCCTGTGTCTGTTCTTCCTCAGTTCCTCCTCATCCTCTGATGCAGCTCTGCAGACTGACGATCCGGTGCGTGCTCGGAGTGCAGAGGCTCAAACTCCTCCACACTCTTCCACTTCCTGTCCGGCTCATCCGCTTTCTGTGTCACGACACGAACTGTTCCTTACCTGAAGACAGCTGATGCTCCCGGCTAAAGACACACCTGTATCTGATATCACCCTGGACCTTTGTCTAATCCGCTTTGTGAGAAACCTGTCAAAACAGCCACCATGGGACATTACTAGGAAAGATGGTTTCCAAAAGAAACCAGAACCGGGTCTTTGGAACCCTAAGATATATGTTGGGTTCATAAATGTAGGTTTGCAAAAGAAGAACTGAAATACACAGTAATGGATACAATTCCTGCAGAAGGACAGTTGAACCCCAGACTCAAACACACCGTCTCCCACTGGACCTCCTCTGCAGAGCGTTTTATTAACAGAACATGACGCATGGTTACAAACAGAGTATTGTTCTGACAGAATAACTGATCAGTTCATAAAGACAGGATGCTCCATCAGAATGACGAGGCAGGATGGTCTCCTGACTGGATCATGAGTGGAGCGTCCCCTCGCACAAATGTTTCATAAACACACTTTAATTTTATAACCATCATTGAATAAACCTAACAATATAAACCACTGATTTTTAAAGGTGATGGCAACATTTTTAGCTCCTCTTGGCCAGTAATCGCTTAGGCTAGCAGGTTTAACAAAGTAGTATTTAGCTTTATAAAAGCTGCTGTGAAGTAGGTCCAATCAGAGTTTAACACGTGCGTAACAAGAATGAAAAGCCGTCATCAGTGCATAGACGAGTCACCATGACAACAGGCAACAGAAGCGCCTATTTCACCGACTGAAACTAGAGATTTTAATGAAGAAATGAAAGATAAAATGAGAATGTGTTTAAATGACAGAGAAAGGAGGAGGAGAAGATACAAAAGAGAGGAAGATGTCGAAGGAG